TTGAGATCTAAGAGTAAATAACGGAATGAATTTGGACTAGGTTAATTTAATTAGAGTCCTTTTTCTATATTCCTCTATTCTTGAAATGAAATTAACGCCCTAGCAATATGTTACAACTCATTTGCAGACCTAAGGTGAGGATGACCGACTAGAGGTGGGAGAAATAAGTCGTGGAATATGACTACAGGTAGTTCTAGGCGTAACCCAATGTTGTTCTGGAACTGCTCTTTGACTTCGGAATATATATGGAGCAGTAATTTCATGTTTTCCTTCCGGTTCCGATTCGGGCTCAGTGTCCTCGCTCTCAATTTTGCTTTCCGGTAATGAAGGGAGAGTATGGAGGCTAAATTGAAGTCCTCCTCGGAAAACGTACTTGGTTGTGAGGCGGTCATTAATGAGTCTTCTTCTGAGGTTTCGGTAGGTGATTCGATGGTCATGCCCGTGTTTTCCCGCTGTATTCTCTGTCGCTTACTTTTTCTACGGGTTCGATGGATTGCGGGTTTCCTTTCGTTTTTAATTCTCGGACGGTTTTCTCCGGTTTTTCTTTCGCTTCGTTCAGCGAAGACGTCCGAATACTCCCGAAAATTCTCACGTTTATCAGGGTCTTCCCGTCTCCTCTTTCTTTTTCGCGGTCGCCGAGGCGTACAAAAATGGATCAGCTTTCCATGGGGCAACACCACCTGGGCATTCTCAAAGTCTAATGTTAGTCGCGCCGCCTCTATGAAGTCGCGGCCTAAGATCCCGTCACACGGGGTAGTGACTTCGGCTCGTACTATACCACATGGCATGCAAAGTTTCTTTCCCCGTAATTTAAACGTAGGCATTACTGTTCCTATTGCAGTAGTTGGCTTACCTAAGATGGGTTCTAATTTTTGTCTAAGTCCAAATTTGAGAGCAGCTTTCCCCTTCAATCGGTTTGCTAGGTCCTTTGATATGAGCGTACGTTCCACTCTAGGGTCAACTTGCATTTTCACGGGGATATTATTAATGTAGACTAATATAATAGGGTTAGGGTTTAACACAGTTCTCGTTAGTCCTATTCTGCCTTTCCACCTCGTCTCGTTCTCCTCGATAGGGTTTCTTTTTAGGTAATATTGAGGTCGTTGTTCTTTGATACTACGTATATTGCCTTCCCATCTACCTCGATTCTGAAAGTCGTTTCGTGGACTCGTAGAGCGTTCGCTAGGTCGGTCACTCGGCTGAGCGTATCTGTGATTAGGGGAGTTCGAGTGATATTCGCTTCTCCGTAAATTCGAATTATTATAGGGGTTGTTATCATAGTTGGTACTAGTATAGCTTCCGCACTGGTTTCTCCTTGAGATAGGATTTCTAAAGCCGTTTTGAGCGGAAGATCGGACTAAACTCTCCATGCGAGCTTTAAGTTCCTTCATCTCTTCAGTTAATTGCTGTAGCTCGTTTAAAGAGGGGGAGGAATCGGTCGCTCTGTCGCCTTCTCGAATTGTTCGCATGATCCCTCGAGGATGTGCGGTAAGGTTCTCTATTCTTTCCTCCCTAATGGCGGCTTTTAATGCGTCGTCGAAGGTGGCAGGCTCTCGGGACATTGTTCGCTGCCTTATGCGTATATCGATCCCATTTAGGAATTGTGCCTTTAATCTCTCATCTAGCTCCTTGCTTTGGACTCGGTGAATGATGGCTGTTTCTGTGGCAGTTGCGCCAGGCTCCGGCGTGATTTCTATCTCCATGGCCAACGCCTGTAGGCGAGCGGCATACGTTTGTACGTCTTCATCCCGTTTCTGCACGCACGTATAAAATCTATTCAGGCGAAATGTAAAGGGTTCGCGGTCAAAACGCTCTATCATCAGTCGCTTAAATTCATCGAATTCTTCCACTTCCTTGATTCGACGGTCTTTCCTAACAAATTCCCTGGCTATCCCGGTAAGCTTAAGCTTGGCAACGGCCAACATTTGCGCTTTCGACCATGCCGCTACCTTGGTGACATCTGTTAATGAATCAAAGAAGTCTGTCACCCTGGGGCCTCCAGCTTCGCCCGAGAATACAGGTAATAAAGGAATAATTCCACTCAATCCTCCCAACGTAATGGGATTCGGCGTTGGGTTAGGATTTGGGTTTGGGTTGCCTGCCCTAGCCGCATCACGAGCTGCTTCCTCCATTTGGTCTATTTTCTATACCTAACTCTATCTAAACTTAAAAACTAGGTCTAACTAATCCCTACTACGATTCAAATCAACTACTTTCTCGACTATATCCTCCTTCGCCTTACCAATTTTCCGATAAAGTCGGACCCCACTCCTGCAAACCAATATGTGATAATTCTAGGGGTTTTCTGATTCAAACCCCACTTCCGCTGCACCAATTTGTGAGCCACCGGAAGGGAAGAGAAGTCCTCTCCTTCCGGTCACTGGTCGGTGACCGACTTTCTTGTCAGGGATGGTAGTAACGTTCGGTTACGCGTTACGCGAGTGGAGGAGAGTTACGGGGCTGACGATAAGGCGTTGGCATAGTCGAAT